TAGCAGGAGGTCCTACCACCTCAAGGTGCCGAGGTAGGTATTATGGGATTAACCTTGGGTATTAGCTTGATTGGTGTCAGCTGTTACACTACCACAAGTGCAAGGACGACTGTAGCTACATATTCATACAATCCGGATGGTCAAGTCGTAGTGTTCGGTCTATATATGAATTATGATGTTTATTTTGTATAAGATTGCTTTTATTCGGTGTTGGCAGGAGGTAGCCTTCGGTATCACATTGTTTGAACTTGTATGAAATATTAAATGTGTTTTATAATTAAATTACATTAGCTTACCCTACTCTCTTGTTTTGTCTTGTATTGTACGTCTGGTTACCTTTTCTTTTGCAATGATCATCCTGTGGATGTGAGCAGAAGACGATGAGTGTTCAGTGGAACAAGCGTTGGAAGACGATGGTCCTGTAGCTTAGTTAAGACCGTTTGGTCATTAGGCTGAGCTTATCTTTTGTAAACCGATCGGTTTATACAGGTTGTTGTATAACCGATCGGTATAGGATGATTTGTTTAAACCTAGTAATAGAACCGTTCGGTTTATTTCCTATGTTTTGTATTAGACTTATGGTACTTTGTAAAGTTTTTAGTTTTATGGTTATTTTGGATAACTGTAATGTTAAATACTTTACTAACTCTTGAATAACTGATCTATCATATTATTATATGTGATTAATCTATGATATAATATTCTGCTATATTTTGGGATGTTACATTAATGGTATCACAACAATTCCTTCCTTAGAATCCTGTAGGTTATGAGTATGTCATGCTTGTGCTGTGTACTCAGTGTTAATTTTAGACAATATCCTTGTGTCTTTGATCTAGAATGATGGTTCTTTCTCTATGAATGTTCATAGATGACATCTCGGTCTCCTCCTTCTTCTCCAACCATGAATTCTCATACATCAGATTTGATGCGGATGATGGAGTCGGTACTCACGGCAATGCAGCAACAAAATGCTGCATTAGTTCAACATAATACTGTCGCCCTACAAGATTTGGAAACCGCTCGGTTATCAATGGAGGTGTCTGAGAGACAATATGTAGACTTGATGGCGAGTGACAGAGCTACAACTAGGACCATCTACTTCTTCTGCATATCATCAGTCAGAGTGGAGCCTGAAGAGTTTTCTTCAACACCGTCTGGCTAAGTTTGATGGCAAGCGCAGCCCGGATGAAGCATATCAATGGTTCTAAGATATGGAACGGATTTATAATGCCAAGAGGTGTCCGGACGACATTAGGTTGACATATTCTGAGTAGATGTTGACGGGAGAAGCTAGTCACTGGTGGAGTAGCATGAGGATGCTACTAGAAAGCAACGATACTCACATATCTTGGGAAATTTTCAAGATGAAGTTTTATGCAGAATATTTCCCTGATAACGTTCGGTTTGCTAAGGAGATAGAGTTTCTTGAACTGGTTCAAGGAGAGATGTCAGTATCCGAATATGTAGATAAGTTCAAACATCTGTTGAGGTTTCATACGCTGGCCATGGATGAGGAATGACAATGTAGAAAGTTTGAAAATGGATTGAAAGGGGATCTCAAGTTGATGGTGGCTGGTTTGTGTATCAAACAGTTTCCCTCTTTAGTAGAAAGAGCTAAGGTCTTAGAGAAGACCAAGATGGAAGTGGAAAGGCAACAGCCGAATCTTGGAGGACCGATTTCCTCCAGGAGTAGGTTTGGTACTAGGAAGACTCCTTACGCACGACCTTCTTCTTCAGGATATAGAGGTCAGTCTCCAAGACCTCCAGTACCGATCGGGCAGCAACATGTTCATGTGAATGCGAGGTGTTTCACTTGTGGGGGTCCACACTATCAATCAGTTTATCCTCATAAGGATAGTAACAGATGGTGTAGTCGTTGTAGAAGTGCATGACACTTTGAGAGAGACTGTAATTTAGGAAGAAGAGCTAGCGGTCAACCACAACAGGCAGGAAGGTTTTAGCCAAGAGGTGGTGGTGGTGACGGAAGAGCTCAGGCTGCTGGTCGGGTATATGCACTAACAGGAACAGAAGCAGCAAGTTCAGGTAATCTCATTGTCAGTTCTTGCTTGCTTTATGGAATATCTTGTTGTATGCTTTTTGATTCGGGGTGCAACACATTCTTTTATCTCGAAAGAATGTGTCGAGAAGTTGGGATTGCCAGTAGATGAGTGTTAGTTTGATCTGGTGGTGTCAACTCCAGCAGCTGGGAAGGTTAGGACGACCACTTATTGTGCTAAATGTCCAATAGTGGTTGATGGTCTTTGGTTCAAAGTGAACCTGATTTTTTTACCTCTTCATGGTTTATAGATAATATTGGGAATGGATTGGTTAGCTGCCAATCGCATTCTTATAAATTATGGTGAGAAGAAATTGTTGTTTCCAGATGAAGAACAAGAAGAATCATTAGCAATCGGTCAGTTGAGGCAGGATATAATGGAAGGTGCTAGTTGCTTCTTGATATTATCCCATTTGGAAGTGGTTCAAGGTGAGTAGGATTTGGACCGATCGGTGCAGTGTAAGCAGAATGTAGACCGTTCGGTCATAAACAAATTTTTAGACGTTTTTCCTGAAGAGATACCTGGATTGCCTCCTCCTAGAGAAGTGGAATTCTCAATTGATTTGTTGTCAGGAGCAGGACCAGTATCTATAGCCCCTTATAGAATGGCTCCAACAAAGCTAGTCGAATTGAAGAAGCAAATTGAAGAGTTGATGGATAAACAATTCATTCGGCCAAGTGTATCACCTTGGGGTGCTCCTATGCTGCTAGTTAAGAAGAAAGATGGTAGTTCTCGGCTCTGTGTAGATTATAGGCAGCTGAATAAATTGACAATTAAGAATAAGTACCCTTTACCAAGGATTAATGATATGTTGGATCAATTATATGGGGCTACTGTGTTTTCTAAGATAGATCTGAGGTCTGGATACCATCAGATTTTGGTTAAGGAGGAAGATGTACAGAAGACAACCTTCCGGTGTCGGTATGGCCATTATGAGAATGTAGTAATGGCGTTCGGTGTTACTAATGCTCCCACCATATTCATGGATTACATGAACCGTATCTTTAGACCATTTCTAGATAAATTCGTTGTCGTCTTTATAGATGACATACTTATTTATTCTAAAACTCATGAAGAACATGAGTGATAACGATTTAAAATACCGTTATCTGTGATGTAATTTTGATACTAAATACACCATTTTTGATTTAGAAACTTGCTTGGACTCATGCTTTTTCATTAAGTTGTGTGAATAAGAGAGTTGAGGTTGAATTTGATGATTTTATGACTAATTCCCTTTGTTTTTATAGAAAATGAGTTAATACAGTAAGTAGATATGAAGTGCTTAGTATATAGAGCTTTTAAAGGCCTAGAAAAGCACCAGAAGAGGGAACCGCACGAAGCTTGGGCGTGGAAAAATCGACGCCCGCCGCTCGGGCGTCGGACACCTGAAACCTGAGCGAAATTGAAGGCTCAAGCCTTACAGAAGTCAACGTCCACCACCAGGGGGCCAAATGGGGCGCCCGAGCGGCGTGCATTCCAGTTTTTGCTCTGTTTTGACTCTTTTGGACCGGGCCCTGTTTCTACTCTTTTTCAACTTTATTTAAAGGACCCAGGCACTCTAGGTTTTGTATCTCCCAAGGGTAATATTTCTCAGGGATGAGGGTATGAGTACTTGGTCGTCTTAAGCTCTTGATCTTGAGACTTAATTTTCTAGGAACGTTAGGAATTGCATGAGCTAGGAATTAAGGTAGGCTTGTTGCGCCAAGGGATTGAGTTCTAAGTACTTTAGTGAGTGACGTTAACATTAATGCATAAAGAGGAATTCTTATATACATGAGAGGGAACTTGGTGAAATCTAACCCCAACAACATATTCATCTCATATTAAACAACATCCGTTCATCTCTGTGTTACTCTACTATTGATCAATTTGCATTCATATTTTATTTTATGCTTTTGCATCACAAACCAATGATCTCGTTTATTTTAAGTCTTAATTAATTAATTTATCACACGACTGTTTAGTGCCGAGAGTCCTCTGGGATACGATACTTGGTCTTACCATTTTATATTACTTGTGCGATTTGGTACACTTGCCAATCTGTTAACAAGTTTATGGTGTCGTTGCCGGGACTCACGGTTTAAACTATTCTATTTGTGTGATTCTTAATTAATTTTGGCTTTATTCTATTTTACTTTATTTTATTTTATTTGATTTTATTCTATTTTATTTTATTTTCATATCTTTTATTTTTATTTTTGTTTTTGTGCTAACAGTGTTTTCTAGGGTTTTGTGTCTAATGTCTGCAGGATGCAATTCGGAGAAGAAGTTAATTATATGGGCACTCAATTCCATCAAGGCAATTTCAACCACTAGTGGGAACCTCACTCAAGCATGGATCAAAGTCAATTTGGGTATGCTGCCGGACAATTTTATAGAGAACCACAATAACAATGGCAACAACAATCCTCTGTATCAGAAAGATGGGCTAAGATGGATGACACACTTCAGTAGATAATGCAGATGTCTGATTCTCATCATAAAAGAAATCAAGCAGCATTCACAAGGATAGAGAGTCAGCTTGATCACATAATTCAGAAGCTGGACGATCTTGGGGGCAATATGGAAGTTAGCCCTAAAGAGGAATGCAACATCGTTATCACTGAGAGTGGCAAGTTTTTAGATGAGAGAAAAATAGAAGAAATTTTGAGCGAAAAAGAGAAAGATGTAGAGGAAAAGAAAGAAAAAGAAGAGAGTGAGGTAAAAGAAAAGAGAAAAAGAGAGGAAGAAGATGAGAGAAAAATAGAGAGAAAAGAAAAAGAAAGTTTGAGTGAAAAAGAGACAGATATAGAGAAAGAAAAAGAAGAGAGTGAGAGAGAAGAAAAAAGAAGAAGAAAGAAAGAGGATAAGGAAGAAAAGAAAGAATTATATGAAAAACCTCTTCCCTACCCAAAGAATTATTCTAGTGAAGAGAAGGAAAGACAGTTTGAGCAATCCATGGAAATCTTCGAGGAATTGGAGATTAAAATTCCTGTGACTAAGACATTACAACATGTACTCGGTTATGTTAACTTCCTGAAGAAATTCAAGAAAAAGAGAAAAAGTCCAGAGGAAGAAACAATTGAGGTACATAGCAATTGCATTGTGATCTTGCAGAAGGCACTTCCTCCAGAAGCTAAAGATCTGGGAAGTTCCAATATCCCCTACACTATTGGGAGTCATGAAAGAGGGAAAGCCTTAATTGATTTAGGGTCCAGTATCAACTTGATGCCCTTATCTGTATTTGAAAAGATTGGTGGTGTTGAAGTCAAGCCTACAAAGAGGAAGCTGCTGAAGATAAGTTGGTGTGGAGACAGAAAGGAGAACACCAAGATTAAAGTTGGAATTGGGTGATCTAGATTGAGCTTAATGGTCTCAAGCTATTGACGTTAAAAAAGCGCTTGCTGGGAGGCAACCCAGTCTCTGAATTTTTTTTTTATCTCTTATTTTGTTTTATTTTTATTTTTTATTTTATTTTTCTTTTTAATTTAGTTGTGTGGTTTGGATTTGATTTTGTTTTTGTGTGTTTGAATTTTTTTAGGTTATATGCTGCTTCTGATGGCAGTAATGACAACATCTACTGATGGATGCCGATAAAGATGAGAAAGATTGGTGTCTACTAAGGGATACCAATGAAGATAAGAAATATTAGCATATACTGATGGATGCTATGTGATTAGACATCTACTGATGGATGTTATGATGATGAAGACTGAGTCAAGCTAGTGACGTTAAAGAAGCGCTTGCTGGGAGGCAACCCAGTGTCTAAAAGTTTTTTTTTCTTTCTTTTTTTTTTTTTTTTTTTTTTTTTTTCTTTTTAATTTAGTTGTGTGGTTTGGATTTGATTTTGTTTTTGTGTGTTTGAATTTTTTTAGGTTATATGCTGCTTCTGATGGCAGTAATGACAGCATCTACTGATGGATGCTTCTACAACATCTACTGATGGATGTTATGTGATTAGGCATCTACTGATGGATGCCGATAAAGATGAGAAAGATTGGTGTCTACTAAGGGATACCAATGAAGATAAGAAATATTAGCATATACTGATGGATGCTATGTGATTAGACATCTACTGATGGATGTTATGATGATGAAGACTGAGTCAAGCTAGTGACGTTAAAGAAGCGCTTGCTGGGAGGCAACCCAGTGTTTTACAAACCTTTATTTTATTTGTCTGTTTTTGTTTTATTGTTTTGATTGATTGTATTTTGTTTCTGTTTTATTTTTTTTCTTTTATTTATTGTACTTTTTGCTTGAATGAACTTCACAGCTTCGATTCAATTGTGATTGTTTTGTGATAAGTATTGCTTTGTGATATTGTAGTGTATTGATTGATGTTGAGATGATGCATGATGTGTTGATATACAGGTGATGGCTCAAAAAGTATGAAATAGGTGCTTGAGGTAAAATTTAGTTGAGATGAGCAGGATGTTTTTCTGAATTCTGGGACTTGAGAGTTTACTTGTGTGAGTTTTGGGCTTCAGAGTTGTTGTGAATAGTTGTTATTACTTTGGAAGCATGAATGATTTTGCCCAAATTTTCTGTGATTGAACTACTTGTTTGTAGGTTTCATATGATTAAGGCCATCTTTCGTTATCCCTTAATTTTTTTTGCCTACTCATGAATTTTTCCAAATAAAAAGATAACAGTTTGTTCCATCCTTTGAACCTTTAGCCTTAAGCATGCTTTGAATACCCTGTTTTAAATTCTTTACCTTGAGTTGAGTTGAGAATATTTGTGAGGTATTGATAAATGTTCAAGTTTGGGGTTGCTATAAAAATAAGTAGTGAGCATAAAGAAAAAGTTAAATAATAATTTAAATTAAATTAATATTTAAATATAATATTTTATTGCTTTTTATAAGGTTTTTATTTTGTTAAAGATCTTCTTGAAAAGATAACCTGTTTGTAATTGTTAATTTCTTAAATATTTCTCTTAACTCAAGGATTTTGCATTCCTGAAAAACCATGTTTCTTCTTAGCCCAACCAAGTTACAAGCCAATAAAAGCCCTTGTGATGAAAACCTACTTGTGAGTATGTTTAATTTTGGTTAAAATGAAAGGAAAAATTAATTTGTGTGACATTGTGATAGCAGAGTGATTGAGAGAGTCCACTATACACCTGTGAGTTGAGTGATACACTTTTGAGTGCTTGAGTAAAATACTTTTGAGTGCTTGAGTGAAACACTTTTCTTGGGGAGGAATAGTTCTTTGAATTTCTGATTGCATCTCTGCTTGGTTGATTGATCATTCTTAAGGATATCATCTGTTGATTAATCTGTTGAAGTACATGATTGAATTAAGGCATCTGCACATCTTGACTGAGATCTTTATGCTGAATTGATAAAAGTGATTTCTTGTCTTGGAAGGAAAAGTTTTTGAAAAATGTTGAGTCATTGTAGTGATTGTTCTGAAAAGCTGAGTTACATTTTGTTTTGCTTGAAGACAAGCAAAGTTCTAAGTTTGGGGTTGTGATAACGGTTTAAAATACCGTTATTTGTGATGTAATTTTGATACTAAATGCACCCTTTTTGACTTAGAAACCTGCTTGGACTCATGTTTTTGCTTTAGTTTTGTGAATAAGAGAGTTGAGGTTATACTTGATGATTTTGTCACCAAATTCCCTTGATATTTTAGGCTATTGGAATGATTTGAAGGAAGAGTTAAAGTTCCAAATAGTTGGAATGCAGAAAAGTCAACTAGAGTGCAGAAAAGTCAACAAGAAAAGTCAATTGCGAAGCTTGGGCGCTCAGTGGAGGCTTGGGGACCAGAAATCGACGTCCACCGCCGGACACCCAACAAGGGGCGCCCGGGCGTCGTGCATCGTGGATTAGGCCTAGGTTTTGCTCTGTTTTGACTCTTTTGGATCGGACCCTGTTTCGACTCTTTTCCGACTCTATTTAAAGGACCCAGGTGCTCTAGGTTTTGTATCTCTGGCTAGAGCAACACAACAACACACTCTTTTACTCTCTAAAGGCGGAAGCTTCCTCTTCTACTCTTAGTGTTTTACTATCTCATGCTTTTCCATTGTACATCTAGTTTCTCCATGTCTATGGGAAACTAAACTCTATTTGTTGTTGGGGAATGATGTAACCTTGTGAAATCTCATGTATTTGAATTGATTCTGAATCATATATGCTTTATTCATTAATTGTTAGGGAATTCATATGTTTTAATGCTTGCTCTATTTAACTCATTTAGTTGCATGATTTATGAATTGCATGAGTTCCGGGAGGTTCCTTACAATTCAGGTTCTTGTTGATTTCTCCCAAGGGTAATATTTCTCAGGGATGAGAGTATGAGTACTTGGTCGTCTTAAGCTCATGATCTTCAGACTTAATTTTCTAGGAATGCTAGGAATTGCACGAACTAGGAATCAAGGCAGGCTTATTGCGCCAAGGGATTGGGTTCTAAGTACTTTAGTGAGTGACGTTAACATTAATGCATAAAGAGGAATTCTTATATACATGAAAGGGAACCTGGTGAAATCTAACCCCAACAACATATTCATCTCATATTAAACAACATCCGTTCATCTGTGTTACTCTACTATTGATCGATTTGCATTCATATTTTATTTTATGCTTTTGCATCGCAAACCAATGATCTTGTTTATTTTAAGTCTTAATTACTTAATTTATCACACGACTGTTTAGTGCCGAGAGTCCTCTGAGATACGATACTTGGTCTTACCATTTTATATTACTTGTGTGATTTGGTACACTTGCCAATCCATCAACAAGTCAGAGCGTTCATCAAATGTCTCCGAACAGATAGAGGAGGATAATTTAATTCTCTTGTGTTGAAAATGTTTTGTGATGAAAATGGTATAAAGCAAAAACTTATCCCAGCCTACATACCACATCAAAACGGAGTTGCTGAACACAAAAATAGGATTGTTATGAACATGGCACTAGTGAAGGGAAAAGACAACGATTGTTTTTGACAATATGCTTCGATTTTCGAACTGAAGTATATATGGGTGAGGTAAAACGGTTGGGGTCTTTTGGCCTCGGTTAATATTGAGGTAATATGTTATAGGCTACTGCCTCAGTTCTTCAGCAATCGATGGATTTTTATACATCTCCAAAAACGATCATTTTTTATACATCTCCAATTCACCCCCCTCTTGGTGTGAGAAACGAAGCACATCTTTTTTAACAATCTGAAAAGAATCAAACCTGGGAACTCATGGATCTACTAGCTGGAGCAAAAATAATAGGAGTTAAATGGGTTTATAAGACAAAATTGAATGAGTTGGGAAAAGTTGATAAGGATAAATCAAGGTTAGTAGCTAAGGGATCTTCACAACAACATGGAATTGAATTTTTGAAGTATTTGCTCCTATTGCACACATGGACACGGTACAACTAGTTGTGGCTCTTGCAACACACAAAGGGTGGAACATCTTTTAACTAGATGTCAAATTTGCATTCTTGCATGGAGTGTTGAATGAAGATGTGTATGTTGAGAACCCAGAGGGATATGTGAAAAAGGGAAAGAGCACATTCATAAAAAAGGACACTGAAAGGAACATATTAATCGTCAACATTTATGTTGATCATCTGATGTATACTGGCAATAATAAATATGCAAATGATGTTCTGAAAAGATTTGCTATCACTGAAAGCAAACCTGTGATGAGTCCAATTGTCCTAGGGAGTAAGCTTAATAAAAATGTTGATGGTGCCATTGTGGATAACATTTACTTCAAACTGATTGTGGGAAGTTTAATGTAGCTAACGACTACACGGCCATATATCATGTTCAGTGTGAGTTTAATTAGCAAATACATTTCCAAACCAATTGAGTTACATCTACAAGCGGCTAAAAGAATCCTACGGTGTCTAAAGGGAACTAGTTATGGAATATTTTATAGGAAATGAGGTGAGGAAAATTTGCTTGCATTTACAGATTCTGATTATGCAGGAGATGAGGATGATTCTAAGAGCACATATGGTTATATGTTCTTATTCAGTTTAGGAGCAGTGTCATGGATGTCAAAGAAACAACCAATTGTTACTCTTTCAAGTATAGAGGCATAGTTTGTAGCTACTGCTGCTAGTGCCTGTCAAGCAATATATATGGATGAGAAGAGTTTTGAGTTTTTCAACTCATTCACAAGACAACATCTTTGTCATTTGTGATAACAGTTCAACTATTAAACTTTCCTAAAATCCAGTTATGCAAAGAAGAAGTAAACATATCAGAGTGCATTTTCATTTTTTAAGAGATCTTGTGAAAGATAAAGAAATTGAGTTGGTGCACTGTGGAACTCAGGAACAAGTTGCAGATTTAATGACTGAAGCCTTGAAATTTGAAGCCTGCAGAAGCTAAAAAAGAAGATGGGAATGTTTGATCGTACTGAAATAAACTAATTGAATTTTTAGTGTATTAGGGAGGGAATGAAATGGTTTTATTATTGTTTAAAGTTGTTTTTGCTTCTGTTTAATAAATCTTGATACATAGGGAGAACCTTGTTTTTAGGAATAGTTTGTTTTGAACACGGTCACGTAAGTTATACGTTGACTAAATTTTATGTATTTTGTTTGGCTATATAATAGTCTGTTTTGACGAAATAA